ACATAAACATGTATGTATGTATGTATGTATGTATAAGTGTGTGTGTGTGTGTGTGTGTGTGTGTGTGTGTGTGTGTGTGTGTGTTGGATTTGTACTGATAGATAAATAAAGGGAAACTAGTATAGATCTATTTCAAGCTATTTAGCTCTCATCAGCTAGCCATACCCTTACTAGCCTGTTTTCTCCCCAGCCCCAAGGAGTACTGCAGGCTTCAGCAGGGCTGGGCGAAGGCAAAAACATACCCGTTTTTGCAAAAAACGGGCCATTTTATGGAAAAACGGGGGCATTTTCCCCTTCTTCCAGCCCTACTGAAGCCTGCAGAATGCTTCTTGGGGCTGGACGAAGGGAAAAACACCTCAGTTTTTGCGAAAAAGGCCCGTTTTTTTGGGTTTTTTTGCAAAAAAAAAAAGGGATGCAGGGGTGGGGCTTTGGGTGGCCAAAAATGGCTGTATTTGGTGTATAAGATGTACCAACATTTCCACACTCTTTTAGGGAGGGAAAAGGTGCGTCTTATACTCCAAAAAAATACGGTACTCAGGCACCTTCAGATTTTTTTTTAAAGAAATATTACTTTCTAGATACTGCTATCAGGGCCTATTTGGCAACTGATGGGATAGAATCAGTATCCCAAAGCTGACTTCAGGAGGCCTACTCTTTAGCCATAGTTTACTACCCATAACTGTTAAAATCAGAATTTGATTCTAAACCCATTTGATGATACTATACCAAATTGAAATGCAAATAATGTCAACTCTGAAGCGAACCTGGCTGGGGCCATTTTGAAGGCTTCAGGGTTACCACAATGTGAAGAAAGGATAGGGAGAGGGGACATAGTTAGATGAGAATTTTGTAGCCAAAACAAAATAATTTCCTGTGGGAACCAAGGTCATTTCAACAGGTGGCTGGAGGAGGAGGGGTGAAGTAATCAGGCAACCGGCCAGCACCTTGATTGGATAACGTGACTGATTGTTTGGGGAAAGGGGGAACTTTCACTTTTTAATCAGGTGAAAACCGCTGGAACTTTCAGAGTCAGTTTTCACCAGTTTGTGCCAATATGATATCTCCAATAAAACTGTTCTTTGAGGAATCTACCTGCCTTGGAGTTCTGCTTTCTATGAGGCTATAACTTGGAACCCTGATAAATAGCATTAGTGCCTTAGATTTGAATGCAGGAGACAAAAAAATATTTTAGGGTTTGTCCTATTATACATACACACATTAACATACAGAAGTTCTATAGTGAAATTAAATCTCCTTTTTATAAACTCTATATTCTTTCCACATGAAGGTCCGTTGCTTCACCTGTCCCTCCTTTGTGCGAGCATGGCGTTCTGTCCATTGGGGAGAGGGTGATGGGAAATTGGAGGCGAGACCTTGGCAGCCGAAAACGAGGTAGAATTTGAGGTGTTGGTGCTGAGGTCAAGTCCCTCTTGCTTGATGCTTTCTTCTACAGGTTGAGTAGCAGTAACCTCTTTCCACAGCTGCTGAAGGTCTGAGGGACATACAGCTTCATAAGTGTTGTAGGGGGAAAAGGGGGAGAGAGGACACAGAGAGAGATTTATTTATAAGAACTTCAGAACAACTCTACAACTGTGAAGGTCTCCCCAATTTAATTAAGTGACAAAAAAGGCATTAATTTATATCAGCCTAATACATACATATTATTCTCTTAATAAAGGAGAATATTTGTAGCTCAGAGTGGACATGAAGGGTCCTTGGTGCTCTCTGAGCTTAGATTTTTCCTTGCAAATATTTCATTATTCAAACTAGGTAATATCATCATGCTAGCACTGATGATGTTACCTAGTTTGGGTAATGAAACTTTTGCAAGAAAACAACAAAGCCCAGAGAGCACCAAGGATTACTTATATATAAACTTTCCACACTGTTATTAAATTGCGGCATCTGAGCCTTTTAAATACTTAAACATATTTCAGAGCAATACTGCATATATTTCATTTGCTTTAAGAAAGTACCACAAGAATCTCAATACTTAAGACAAATTATCATGAAAAACAAATCCAAACTATAAATCACTTAAATATTAACAGTTAATCAGTGCTATGTAATTTGCATAAAAGTGGTAGATTAGGAATTCATATTTCTTGATTTTAAGCAATTATTGGTAAAATCAAAAATATGAATTCCATTTAACCTAGTACTTTTATGTATATTATGCCAGAAGAAAATACAAGTCCAATATGCAGAATAAACTCTACATTTCTGAATCTAATTATTTATTTATTAATTTGTTTTGTAAAATTGTTATTTTAATTTGCCTAGTGCTGGTATCTGGGCTGAACTAGAATCTTTGGTTTTCTGCTCCATTAGAGATTAATAGAGTTTTAGGTACAGAACACAATCATGAGATTTCATGTGATTCATTACTTCTCAGCCTTCTGGCGAAGAGCAAGTATGGAGATTTCATGTGATTCACAGATGCCAAGAATAACAAAAAAAAAGGGGGGGGGAAATAAAAATGTGGCACTCACATGGAATCATACGTGACAATACAGATCTTATAAAGTTGGGCTTTCTTGTCTGCTTATGGCCGTCTTTATTTTTTAAATAGCTATCATCTAGGGACATAAGTGTACCTGTGCACTTGTATTGCATTTAGGATCATGCCTAAGGCCTTGCATAAAATAAAATACAAGCATAACATGTACTTCAGGAACTAAAAGTAGCTCTTTTCTATTGAGGGATTTGAGGGGACCATTCCTCTGATCTACTACCATTTGCCCTTATGGAAGAAAATACACAAGTAGCTCTATGATTTTTTTTATTTTTTGTAAAACAGAGCAAAATTTTAGGAAAATTTTAAATTGGGGAAAACTCTACAGGATTAAACATTTCCTCTGTTAGTTTAGTTGACAAGCCTGTTTTTTTTTACTCTAAATTAGCTAAGGGAGAAGTAATCATAGATGTTCATGCTATTTATCAAACTGATTCAAAGTTAGTATAGTATGTCACACTTCAATATGTTTGACATGCAACTTCTCCCACTTTTGGAGAGATAATTTCCAAACGTTAATACTTATTCTACACCATCAATTATATTGGATTATATTTATGATTTTCTTACTTCTAATTAGGACTAAGCTTGTATATTAAAATTGATTTTTCCAATTTTTAATCTGAAGGTTTTGATTAACTTCAAAACCCATATATACAGGTATACTTGATATATCTAATTAAGGCATTTTGTTTTCTTGTCCACTAGGATAAATTGGGAATATTTACAGGAATGCTAGCTTTATAGATATCTGAAAAACCTCTTTATGCTATACCTCGATAGAATAAGTAAGTCCTAGTTCACAATGAAGCATAATTGAAAGTGATGAAAAGGAGAGTGCATGTTGGGTAGGGAGATTGTATGCTTCCTTCTCTGATCTATTCATATGGTTGCAAAGAAGTATTCAGAAACTTTTTTCCAAGTTAAATTGACTTGTTTTTGGCATTTCATCAAACTCACAAACTGTTATTTATCTTGTTGCATCAATTTAGCCAACAATTTAGAATTCAGAGAAATGCCTAAACTGCATTAAATGAAATCATAAGAGAGCTGATTGCAAACTCCACATGAACATGCCACAGAAGGAGAATGGATCGGGATTGTTAAACATCTTAAGACTTGTTGCAGTTCATTTGGGTGGTTTTGGATTAAAGAGGTTGATATCCAAATTGAGTCAATCTATTTATGAAATATATTGGTAGCTAGCCTTGGAGCTTTAATAGAAGAAACATGGCCACAGAACATTAATTCAGTTATCTGTTGTCCAAGGGTAACAAAATGCCTTTCGCATTGATAGATGAAATGTGTGTCCTTAGTAGATATGTTAACTTTCAGGGGATAAATTAAGAATTAATTGTTCATTCCATATTGACATACTGTTGCTACTTCTTTCCTTCCTGTAACTAGGATGGCTCCAGAATGTCAGATTATAATTTCAATAGTTTACATGGACTTTACTGAATTTCCATCTCAAATTTCCTTAATCATGAATTTGACAGAAGTTGATAGGTGGTGCATGTACGTGGGATGGAGAAAGGCATAAGAAAATAGCTTTCAGGTACATGCTGCTAACAATAACAGTTTATCAGAAAACCCAAACAGTGCTTTCACTCCCATCTTGTCCATCCCTCCCCATTACATATTATTATCCTTGGAACTCTGATATTTAGCATGATTTCAGTCCAGATTCTGCTGCCTCCTGTAAAAACAGTGTTTCTGATAGAGAAGACATAAGCTCTATGGAATAAAGCAGTATTATTACATACACATTCTCTTTTTCTATAGAAAAAGTAGCAGCAGCAGCAGCACCCAGGAGGAGCTGCTACTACTTGCCAGTAACTGTTTTTCATGAAAGGTGCATTAGGCCCAGTTATCTCCCATTACTATCAGCAGCACATCTTCAGGTAGTCCTTGAACTGCTCCTGAATTAAATGCCCAGTGCACTGCAATTTAACAATGCTTTTACTGACAGCTATTTGACAGCAAAATGTAAAACTGTAGCAAGCATCAGGCCTCAAGTACATGGACAACAGGCAGCTTTTAAAATTAGCTGAAAACCAACTGGCAAAGATAATTGCCGCAATGGCTGGGTGGGTTCTCCCTACAGCAATTAAAGAACAAGGAGGCTTGTGTGCATTACCTTGTGGCAGGGTCTGCAGAGGAACGGTGCCTTGTCCTGGCTGTAAACTGACCAACCCTTGTCGCTGGAGGTTTAACAGGTGCTGCTGCTGCAGCTGCTGCATCTGCAGGAGCTGTTGTTGGAATGCCAGCTGCTTATTCCCTAATGGCTGCTGGAAAACAAAAGAAAGAAATTAAAACACATTTTCATTTCCAAAGCACAGGCCTTCTATTTCCCCCCCTTCAGGTCTTGCATAAGCAGCCCGATCTCAGCTTTAGCTATAGCTAGCACAGCTCACAGTTCTGATCTCTTATCCTCCGTGGCTACACAGCATATAACCAAGACTGAAAGCCTTTGATCTATCATAGCGGCAGAAACGAAGGGAGGGTGGCGGAAGAGAAGACAGTGAGCTTGCTTGGCGGAGCACTGAAAATGCTGACTCTCTCTCTCTCTTTTTCTCTCTCTCAAATGAGCCTTTCCATTAAATCTGTTATTTGAATTGTTATAAGAGACAAAACATCTTATATGTCAGTAGAAGCTATCCACCTTAAACATATATAGATTAATCTCCTATGAATGCCAAAAGCTTGTGCATACAAGCAGTCTCCCAAGAGGCTTTTAAAGGCAAGAAAGCTCCTCTTTTGTGCAGAAATTCAGCACTGCCTGGGCCGCACATATTCTGGAAATGAGAATACATGAGAAACCAATGGAGGTTTCAAAATAAAAGGGAACATTCAATATTAATTGATTTGATGTACTATATCACTTTCATACATGAGAATCCTAGTTATGCCACCTTGAATTACATATGGAAGCAATCAAGTACATAGATGTGCTAGATATTAATGATGCAGGGATAATGAAGTTTTAATTAAAGATTCCAAACAATTTTTTCCATTTTTAACTACCCCTATTGTTTAATTGCTTTAAATTTGTTACAACATACAGTATACATTGGAGTGTTGCAATCAGGTGAAAGCATACAGAAAGCAAAGTGCACTTTCCACTGGCCCTGAGTCCTGTAAACTGTCTTGAGCCATTAAAGGGGTGGGCAGCATACAAAATATTATAAATCATCCTAACAATCTTTGAGTATAATCTATACACTATATATGTATTTTTGTTTTTTAGCCATTTCAGAACTGATTTTTCAATCAAATTGTCCATATTGTTATAGGGCTAATACAATGTATATGTAAGCATAAAAATGCTGCTACAAAGATAATCACAGGTATTTACTCTTTAATTGTGATCCATTTTCTTGTTAGTACCATGCCAGGGTGCCGTGATGCTTCCACTCACCCTATATAGTTAGTTATGTTATAAAAAAACAAGGATTGTAACACTGTTATTCCATCTCATTTTTTGCTATAATTAATTCATCCCTGATGTATGGGTAGCCTTCCAATGGCCCAGCTTCTTCATTTAAGCTTTATCCCTGAAATCTGGCCCTCTGTAGTAATAGCCATTGCCAAAATATTCACAAGTCTACATTAGCAAGGTTTATTTTATAAGCACCATCAGAAACAGGTTTTTAATATTTATTTTATAAGCAACACTGTAATGGACAACAATTTTTTGACAAAAGCAAAAGCACACATCCTCCAATGTAGCTCTTCTCTGTCACAATTCTTTTCTTCCTATCCTCTTCTCGAGGATTATGTATACTCTAATGAGCAGAGCAGCTAAGAGGGCTTAAGAAGCCACAGAGACCTGCAGCAGCGTCAGTCTGAAGAGGGCCTCAGAGAATCGAGAACTGGTAGTATTAACACATGACATACTCAAAGCCCCAAACATTAAATTTGTCTATCATTTCATTTTGAAAGCATTTGACTAGTAGTTTTCGAGAACAAAATAGAATACATCATTACAGATTGTGCCTATATCAAGAAAAGTTCATTCACTTTTGATTTGGGCTGAATTCCTTTCCAATGAATCATTAGGACTTTTAGCAAAAAGAAATCAAAATGGGAAGGGGCAGCCCCTGGGCAGGGATTGTACTGCAGGCAGGAAAGCAAAAAAAGGTCTTTAAAAAAACTTTCTTCATTACTTTTTATATAAATAACTAAAGGCAGCAAACTCAGTGCAGCAAACATATGAATACTCCTTCCTCCTCCTATTTTCCCCACAACAATCTGTGAGGTCAGTTGGGCTGAGAGAAAGTTACTGGGCCAACTGGTTTTCATGATTACGGTGGGATTAAAAATCAGAGTCTTCTAGTTTCTAGGCGAATATCTTAACCACTACTGTACACCAAGAAAAGGTTAGGCATTCATGTTAAGTCATTTTTATGGGTGAGACAATTGCACTAAGTGGCCTGGAGAAAAAAAGAGGGAACTCCAGCCCTCTCCTTTGTGACTACACTGCCAGCAATTTGCTTCATTTGCTTTAGTTCTCAAATGCAGAGAAAATTGAAACTACATAAATTGAATAAATTCCAGGCTCTCTGCAGGCCTTCCCAATCAACAAAAGTAGAACAAGAGTATGAGCAGGGCAAGAACATTTGCCAGTCTCTTCTCTATGTTTTCCCCCTCCCCCCAAGAACACTTACAAGATTTATTGAGTATCATTTTTAATGAGAATACATCCTGGCATCAGCCAAAGATGATCTTGTGTTTATAGTAAGTATGGTTCAAGTTCAAGAAACAAGATTATTATAAAGACTGACATTCTTGGTGATTCCCCACAATTATAAACTTTCCTCTTACTACAAATTCAGTAAAAACCAAGCCTATTAATTTTATAATCGAGTTATAATTACAAGTGGTCCTTAGCTTAAGATCACAATTCAGCCCAGATTCCTTTTGCCAAGTGAGACATTTGTTAAATGAGTTTTGCCCCATTTTACGACCTTTCTTGCTACAGTTGTTAAGTGAATTACTGCAGTTGTTAAGTTTGTAACATGATTATTAAGTGAATCTGGCTTCCCCATTGACTTTGCTTGCCAGAAGATTGCAAAAGGTGATCACATGACATTGGGCCAAATATGCATCAGTTGCCAAGCATGATCATGCGATCATGGGAATGCTACAACAGTTGTCAACGTGAAAAACAGTTATGTGTCACTTTTTCCGGTGTTGTTGTAACTTTGAATGGTCACTAAATGAACCATTGTAAGTCAAGGGCTAGCTGTACCTTGGTTTTTAGGCCTTGAATTAACTTAGGGAAAATGAGAAAGTGCATTTGAATGATTAATTTTTATTTTTTTTTATTATGCTTTTCTTATATACCTTCTTTATGTTCAAGAAGAAACCTCCTTTTCAGATGTTTCCAGAACAATAGAAGAATAGCTTTCAGCACTCATCAGTCAAGAGGCCAAGCTATTCTGGTTTATCCTCCTACATGGGTTATACATGGGATTTTATATATTATATATTAAGAAAAATAAAAGCAATGGAAAACTATGGGGAGGTAATAAATTGATAATTGTGATACTTGGATTCCTCCCATTGATATAAAGCTGCATGAGTGAAGCAGACAGTTGTACAATAAAAGCTTCATTTGGAAGTGTCTTTAATATTTATTTTCTTTCAAACTATAGTATTATAAATGTGAGTTTCCTTCTAAATGAGAGACTGTCATAAGCATATAGGTAGAATATAAGATTATTTATGGTGGATGAATTTTTTTTGGATAACTAATTTTATTGAACTCAAATTCTCTCTACTTCTCAAAGGTTGTACAGCCAAACTAACCCACAGTGTACCTAATTTTTTTTTAAAAACTATCCGAATGTTAAATCCTTTGGATAAAAAACTGAATGCAAGGAAAAGTATGGTAAGTCATGTAATTTAAACTACCATACTTTTTTCCTAAGGAGTTGTTGGAAATTTATTAGGAATTTGAAATATTGGTAATTTTACTAAGCCCAGCTGGAGTGTTGTTTACATAAAAATGCAGCACATTAGGTACACTTCCCTTGTTCTTCTGTATTATTTTTATTAATCCACATTACTCCAAGATTTCTCCCTGATCACTAGAACTAAACAGCTAATATGATGTTGCCTTAGAAGCATATACCAATATTTTCTGTTGTCACAATTTGTGGGCATTTTCATTTTTGGAGATCATCCTCCATGTACTTTTAATAGAACCAATGAAGTAAGAAGCTTATCTGCACACTGATAAAAATCTTAAAACCCAAGAAAATAATTATTGAAGCTTACTCTGCCAGTCACTAGCAATTACCGGTGTACTGATCCTACTGTTTACAATCCTTTCTTCCTCTAATACTTGCAGGTATCTATAGAAAGCGTTTATTTAGGATTAAACCCCAGATTTTTACCTTCACTTCTTGTTGCACCAACTCTATGTTCTTTGATCCCTGATCTTTTCCCTGGTGATGGGGTTTGAATTTCTTAAAGCATTTTGTCTGCTCTGTTTACATTAGATGCAGCTGAGTGGGTGCAGTTACTGGGGTAACAGGCTCAATCACTTTGATTTATGAGCACATCAAGAGGAGTTTCAGCGTGACACTGTGGACTGACAGGAGCACTTCATTAATTTGATGCCCAGGTTACTTGCTGGCCAATCCTCATGTGCTGCTCCCCTCCTAGATTAACCATGTTGTATCAGGTGGTATACTGGGACAACTGTCAGGGACAAGATTCTTTCTGAAAATTCTCATTCTCAAGATTTCTGGAGTTATAGTAGAAATTAGGATTGCAAGATTTCCTGAATCTATTTTAGCATTTCAAATGCATCAGTAAAAAGCAACAAGGTAAGTACTAGCTTAGGCACAATATGTGATGACAGGACTAAATTTATACCTGCCAACATTTCCCCCCTTCAATTCAAAGAAAGCAACATTTCTAAAGTTATCCCAAAGGTGTTTTTTCAAGGGGCAACTGAACTTTGAAGACGTTATACTTCTCATCCAAAAAGCCACATAAACTGAAGGCTAAGCATTTGCAGGTATCATGGCATAGATGCCCTGTCAACAAATGTGATTTTATAGGAAATTATACTTTTAAACAAATATAGCTGGTCAAAAGTTTCAGAGCAGGACAACAAAATTTCACAAAATACAACAATGTGGAATTTTGGCAATTTTGGTACTTGTATTAGGGATCACTTGAAGGTAGCATACAGAGCAAAATCTCTATCATCAATAGACCCCCAATCGTAGACTGAGAAGAAGTGCCATACAGAAAGTTTGTGGAATGTACTAAACTTTCTTGCAACATACTTCATTTTAACTCTATGCCAGTCAATATATTGTAATGATTACAGTATTGCAAAGGATCTTGGGAATCTGGGTTCAAGGCCACATAACCTCATGGGTTGACTTTGGGCCAGACATTATCTTTCAACCTCGCTTAACCATGCTGAAAGGAAAATGGAAGGAGATTTTGCTCTGTATGCTACCGTTTGATCTTGGATCTAACATAAAACTATCTATTGTTAAGTTAATCATAAACAATAGCAGCATAACATAGGTATATGAATTCTGAAAGTTATTGTTTCCTGGGTCTAACAGGTAACCCTTTTAGTTTTCCTTGGACCATTAAGATGAATATAGTAGATTTTCCAGATTAACATAGAGTTTCAATTCATGTTTCTCAGGCAACATGACGACTGCTAGAAACACTTTGCATTATGATGATCCTTCTGGCAAAAGTACCAATAGCAGGAGTGGTACAAGTATTTTTAATTTTAGAATTCTACAGCAAAAATCGTGAACTCAAGGCAGATAAATCTCTTAAACGAGAGCCAATTATTGTGAATCCCTGCAAAATGTTTATCTAAACAGTGAATTAGTCAGTTAAACTTGCTTATTGCAAAACATAGGTTACAACAGAGGCAGTAATTTGATGATTTTTTAAAATTAAATTATACTGAATAACCAAAGATAGTCCATCTTATTCTCTCAAAAAGAAGAATCTGTTATTTTGCATGCGGAGCAATGCAATTTTTTTTAGCAAATCTGTGTTCCCCTCAATTATTTTTTATTTTCTGCAGATTTTTTTTTTTTTTTTTGCAAAGTATCTTCCTAACTCAAAGAAAAACCCCACCTCTTTGGCTTGCTGCTTTCCAGCTTGTTGCTGAGTCAGAAGCTGTAGGTGAAGCTGTTCCTGTTGCTTCTTGTAGTATTCCTGAAGCTGAAGAAAAGATAAGAGAAAAAGAATAGAAAAAAATGATGATAAAGTTGGTGTTGCAGTCCTTTAATGCTCTACATTAATAATTAATAAGATGCAAGCACACCATAAAGATATTATGGTCCTAACAGGGGTATTAAATTCAAGGCCCGTGATCTGGGTCCGGCCCATGGGGTGCTTAGATCTGGTCTGTGGAGCCACCCTGGAAACAGAGAAGGACTGGCCCATGGTACCGTATTGCGGCCCTCCCGAGCTCAGTTTTCACTGGCAGAAGGTTGCAGGAGATCGTCCCAGCTGAAAACAGAGATTGGGAGCCCATTTTTGCTGGCAGAGTGCTCGGGCCACCATAGGTGCCTGACACGAGTGATATCAAGCTGGCCATCCCCACCTTGGCTACCCCCACCACAGCCCACCTGAGGTGAAACACAACCCTGATGCGGCCCTCAATGAAATTGAGTTTGACAGCCCTAGCCTATAAGATTATAATGAATAGAACCATAAAATAAGTCAGTCAAACAAATATGTTTACTTCTTTTTGCTCTTTTAGCATATAATTACCGAAAGTCACAATAATTATTGAAAATGGGCCACTAACATTTCTATTCTCAGATAGACCCAGAGACCAAAACCTTGATAACTTTATGAAATCTGATCTTCCCATGAACATTTCTTTTTTGAGAAAGAGGACATGGAAATTATTTTCCCCAAAATACAGAACTTGAAATGAAAGCAGATAGCCAACTGCAATATTTTTCTAGAGGGTGTAGAGAATACATGTCAACAGACTAGAAGAGTCAATCAAAAGAAGTGTTCCCAGAACTGAAGGAATATGACTCACTAACATTTTATTGAATTACATGAGACCTAGGCTGTAACCTTCTCTTGCCAATCATTATTTGGGGCAAGAGAAACAGACTGAAGAGGAAAGAGAGCAGGAGGAGATATTTTTACGTCTTTTTTTACCAGAAATGAATTGACATGGAACTGCATTATGCCATATTTCAGAGATATTGAACTTTGGAGGAACTACCGCATGGGGTACATGGCATTCCACTTGCTGCACACCAAATTAGAAAAAGTAGGAGGAAAAAAATGTAGGGCCCAAGACAGAAAGTATATTTGTTTTAATTTAACTTATTCAATGAGTCATTTATTTAATTTTCCCTTTTTGATGAATTAAAATGATAACAATTTTTTTAATAGGAAGGTTTGGAGGGGATTTGACCCAAACAAGTCTTGTTGGATATAATTAGTTATCAGGGCTTATCTGGCATTATTGTAGACAAATATTGTTTCAACAGGATGAAGTCACAGAAGAAAAATCATTCTTGCCTAAATAATGTTTATATTCACATTAGACCAAATGTTATTTATTTTGCTTATTAAAACATTTATACTTGCCTTTAAGTTACAGGTCTATACAAGTTCTAACACTTTAAAACCCATAATGTAAAAGTTCAATCATATTTGAGATAAACACATAATAAACCACTGAGTACAATAGGAATCTAATAAATTCAGCAGACTGACTTTTATGAAAATAACAAACTAAGGGCATAGTATAGTAGCTATGGTAAAATAAGCAGCAAAAGTGAGAGGGTCTCAAACATTTTGTTCCTTTGAGTTTTGATTTAGTATCTCGGGGTGCACAGCCACTGGGATCTTCTAATTTAAAAAAAAAACATTTTTGTTCCATCTTGCAAGTGTCCTTAGCACTGCAATATCCAGAGTCAACCAATGCTTTTTCCAACTGTTTTGCATTTTTTCTTGTCTCACCCTGTATGCTTTACAATGAAAGAAAAAAAATCTGCTCATTAAAGCCCACGTCGGAAGATTGGTAGGGTGTCATGGTGACTTCAGCAAGGTGGCAGGAACAGCCAAAAACTGAGACAAGGTAAGAGTTTTGCTGGTGGGAAACATGCTACACAGCTTAGAAGTTAATGCGGAAAACACTTTTTTGCATGGTTTACTCCTACATTGCAACTCGCCACAAGTTAATCAGTTCAGGTATAAAACAACTGTAGAAGCCTTGTGACACAGGCCGATGAAGGGGCTTCATGCAGAGGAGTCCCAAACATCATTAAAGACCACAAAGAATAATTTGTACTATATGCAATGCTTATGGAAAAGAAACAGGTTTCTCCCTTAAAGGAGCTTAAAGTTTAAAGAAAAAGGAAGACACAATTTTCTGGAAGGGCCTGAATACATGTATATGTAATTGCTTATAAAAAAAAAAGCTTTGGCTATCATTGGGGATGAGAATTTAAAATTATGTCAAAAGATTTAGGGGCAAATTACAGGTTCTAGGTTCTATTCCCTTCCTGTAGGAGTTCCTGGAATTATTTTTATAACATTTTAATAAAATATGGTGTTCGAGGCCTTGTCTCTGGAAACCAGTTGCCTGAAGTCATTAGGAATACTTATTTTCATATCTGGCTGGTTCACAAGCTATGGCTTTTCCTGGGCCACAGCTAGTAAACTTGTTTCTAAATCATGTGAATTTAGCAACCACTCACAAGTCAAATAGACGTGTATTTCTTTTTGGACTTAAGAAACCCAAATATTCTGCTTTAAATTATTAGTTTTTGTTTCTGGAAAGTTCTTTGCAACTTGTGAACTTCAGTTAAAAGAAGCTTTGGAAAACTAGCTAATCTATATAGATAAACCAATGTATGAATCTGTTTTTACAAGCACTTAAGTTTTCTAATAATGAGTTTTAGTGGCCAGAGTAAAAATGCATACCTATTATTGTTTAGCAAACTTAATAAGTACTGAATGAAGCTAATTATATAAACTATTCTATGTCATTAGGTATGCTAGCTGGGGAATTCTGGGAGTTAAAATGCACACATCTTAAAGTTGCCAAAGTTGAGAAATATTGGCAATGTGATTTTGTACTTATGTTGTCTAAATACAAGTTTTAATATTTTGGACAGCGAGCCATTTCTAGGTTAATAATACTTATTTTCAGGTGCAATTTTGATTAGATTATTTGGGAATAAAATTCAATTTATTTAATCTATATATTACCTCAATAAAAACTAAAATTATGTATTTTTATCCTTTTTCTTTCCAAAAGAAACTACAAATCAAAACTAAAATTAAAATAACGTTTAACTAGTAACTATTCCTAGATTCAGAATGTTAAATTTTAAATTATTTCAGTTTTAGTTCCTTAATTATTTTATACACAAAATGTTAATATTTAGCCCAATGAAGGATTTCATCTCTTCAGTGCAATTTTGCTTAGTGTATGATAAATGGCATTACTCTGAGCTTTTCTCAGGCCTGCCAGTTTTAGTTTCATTATATGAAAATATATGATTTGCAGATGTAATTTCTTTTCTTGGGGAGGGGGAGGAGAGACCAGTACAGATTTCCTCAAATGGGGGGGGTGTAGAGCGAAGCAGGGGAAAGCTGACTTCTGAGGAATGTCCCCGGGGATTCTGGGAGAGTCCTTATCAGCTTGTGTTTGACAGTACTGACAGCAGAAACCTTTCTCTTTAACTCTGCTGAACAGGTTTGGAAAGCCTCCCTTGTTTACCCAAAAGCCAATCAAAACCAGGTCTCTATATGGGATTCTGAGAACATTGGGTCAAGAGGTGAGAGGTGTGATGTTTGGTTTTCTTCTCACAGAGAATGCCAGCTATTCCGGTCCAGGCTGTTTAATTTGCAGTCAGACATGTTTCTCTATCTGGCTCCAAAAAGGCTCTGAGAGGGAAGGACCCCACCCAGGTTAGTGTTTACCTTTTGTTCTTCCCCTGGGGCTAACCTTGACTCCTTATCAGCATGTTTGAAATAAACAGGTACTTAAGGCAGGAGGAAGGGTGTGGAGGATGCTGTGGTTTTTATGTTTGCTCTCCCTTCCCTGGTGTAAATGTTTGTCCAAACAGTTGTTTTTTCTTGGGGATTTTTATCGCCTCCCTTATTTTAATAATTTTCTTCACTTATATTTACTTTAAAAAATGCCCATCTGATTCCCAATTCTATATAGTGGTTGATGAAAATATTTCCTAAGGGAACTCTCTGCTTTAATGTAAAGCTTTATAGGATTAAGCATATTTTACAGCTATAAACTACTATGATAAACATGCTGCTGTAAATCAGAAGAAGCCAGAACTTGAAAAGCTCCAGAGTACAGAATATGCTTGGTCACCAAAACCAAAATGAAAATTATACCTAACTGCTTTTTGTGTAGCTCTTAAACTGACTGTCATTATATGGATTTAAAAAAAACAACAACTTTGAAATAGAATGTCTGGAAAGAAATTTGAATGCAAAATATACAGTCAATATTGTTAAGTACAGTCAATATTATCATTTAATCCTCATTTGTTTAGTACAAATCTTTAATTGAAAGATGTACAGGTAGTCCTCGACTTACAATCACAGTTGCTAAGTGGGATGTTTGTTAAGTGAGTTTTGTCCCATTTTACAACCTTTCTTGCCCATAGTTGCTAAGTGAATCACTGCAGTTGTTAAATTAGCAACACGGTTGTTAAGTGAATCTGGCTTCCCCCTTGACTTTTCTGGTGAGAAGTTTGCAAAAGGTGATCACATGACCCTGGGACACTGCAACCATCGTAAATATTTATGACTCATAAATATGAGTCAGTTGCCAAGCATCTGAATTTTGATCACATGATCACATGAGATTTTATAAATCTCCAACATTTGTATTATCCAAAAGATTGCAATCTACATATTCAGCCCATGACACCATGACTCCCCCCCCCAAAAAAATCTTTTAAACTGAAAAGAATTGGGCTTTTCTGTCAAGCATTCATGTTTTTATTCAACTATTACTTCCAACAATTTTGGGCAAGTCAGTAGTTTTCAGCCCATCCTGCAAATTTACAAACAGGAAACACATTGCACTTGCAGGAGAGAAATTCAGACACAGACGTCAGCCTCTGTGACTCTCACACGAAAGGTTTGCTCAAATGCAAGCTGCTTTACCTGTTGCAGCATAATTGCTTGTTGCTGCTGCAGCAGGGCTTGAAGCTGGGGTGGAGACAGAATCTGTTGCATCTGCTGTGGTGTGATCATCTGAGGAGACATCATAGCCACAGACACTGGAACCTACAGAGAGAAAGATGGGTTACAGGTGATGATGTCAAGTAGTGGGCTAAGAGAGAGTTTAGGGGGAGGGGGAACTACTTGCACAGATAATGTATACACTGATAATATACATATTCTTTATTCTCCAGATATGTGGATGTGATGAAAATACATATACTTTCTTCAGGTGCAGTAAAGCTAGAGAGTTTAAGTACTCAGAATCAGAACAACAAAAATTGTTGCTTAGATCCTAAAATTCTATCCAAGTCCGAATGCACACAGTGAAGCAAACCTGGGACAAAAGTTGATGTTAACACTACAGATGGAAAGCTGTAGACAGAAATACAAAATTCTACTTTATATTTCACAGGTAATTCAATTAGCAGATTTTTTTTTATTCCACCTCCCCAAATCAGTACTGAAGCTAGTGAATGAACATTATTCAAAGAGTTATGTACACACATACAACAAACATGCGCGCACACACAGAGAGAAATGAAAGCGAGAGGAAATGCTATTTTGTTATTTGCAAGTTGAAGCCATACGTTGTTTTGAAAAGTTCTGTGGGACCTTTTTACCAATTGCTGTAGGTTGGAAACCTTTTTTTAAGCTGCACGTATTTGTTTGTGGCTGGTAGCAAGGTAGAGTAGGGTAGAGCGGGCAAAGTGAGTCAGTTACATCACACTCATAAATGGGATAAATTGTCAATCCTTTTGTTTTTGTTTTAATGGGAATTTCATTTTGTTTTAAATACTTTGTTTCAAGATTTTGCCTAGAATGTTGTGAGTTTCCCATTTTAAAAGGGTTCTCAGCAATTGGGCCACGAAAACCTAGCAGCACAATCAGAACAGCTTCAGGATGGCAAGTTGTCATTTAACACAATTTAATGGATGCCCATGGTGACTGTTCACACATGTAATATAGCCACACTAGCTGGATTCCCGAGAATAAATTTCGGCTTTTCTGTTGTACAAAATATTACATAATGTTACAAAATATTTTGAACATAGATTCATATTGAGATTTGATACCGTCCTCCCACCCAAGCATACATTTAACATTCACTCATTGCTTCATAATACTGTTCCCAGCCTTTGAAAAAACTCTAGTCTGTGGGCCACCTGTCCTAACATGCCTCGTTAAGGGCAGGAAATAGTACTGCTTTCTTTAAGTTCCCAAAGGTTATTATTCTTATAGCCTACATTACAATCAAAACAGACAAGTCAGAATTAGGTCACTATAATTCATGATGCCCTGTTAAACAAAAACTTCAATGAGTGTTCATCCTTACTGGAGAAGGAAGATCAAGAACAAGTCACATAACTACTTCGTGGTTGACCACTATTTCCTCTTTGTTCATTTGTGAATAACACTTCCAGTCAACAAGCCATTTGTGGCAACAAATCCATCAGTACTGAAAACATTTGTTCTAAGTTTGTGATGTTGTTGTGGCATGAAAATCATACTGCTGTTCATAACAAAGAGTTAGATAAAATGTTTATCACAAGATGGTGCAAGGCAGGGAGACTAAAACATATGAAGAATGGTTACAGGATTTGGGGTTGGCTAGTCTAGAGAAAAGAAGGATTGGGGGGGGGGGATGACACGATAGCAGTGTTCCAGTATTTGAGAGGTTGCCACAAAGAGGATGGGTCAACTTGTTTTCCAAAGCATCAGAGGGCAGAACAAGAAACAATGGATGGAAACTAATCAAGGAGAGAAGCAACCTGGAATTAAGGAGAAACTTCCTAATAGTGAGAACAATTAACCAGTGGAACGCCTTGCCTTCAGAGGTTGTGGGTGCTTCATCATTGGAGGTTTTTAAGAAGAGACTGGACAGTCACTGGTCTGAATTGATACAGGGTCTCCTGCTTGAGCAGGAGGTTGTACTAGAAGACTTCCAAGGTCCCTTCCTATTCTATTCTGATTAATTGAGAAAATGCCAACTGTGAGCTAAATACAGTCTTCATGTTTAGATGCATTTGTTGCAAGAAAAAGTGCTTTTCATTAAATAAAGTGGGCAGGGGGAAACATATGGCATTCTTAAAGCATTGAATACACTATTACAGAAACAGAATTTTTTTATTCAGAAAAGCTTCATGATGGCTTGTTTCCCTAAATTAATGGAATCAGATTTTACATGCTTATCAACAACCTACTGATTATCAATTGTTATAATTATTATCAACAATTAGAAAACTAAGAAAAGCACAGAATATTTTTCATGCTGCACCCACATTTGATTTTCCCTCCAGTAATCAGAAATACTTGAAATGAAATATTTCATTAAGAAGAAGAATTTCAGCCACTTGTGTTATTAAATTACTATATCCCAAACAAAATTCTAACTTTATTTTTCTTGAAATTCTTGCAGGTATTTTAAAACATTGATGTTACATAATATCATATTAGACAGAAATAAAATCCTTGATTATCTTCACATGCAATTAAAAAATGTTTCTCAGCAATAGCCATCTGAAGAAAAATAATTTAGATTTGCATTGTATCCATTCCATTTGCCTAATTGGGTATTTTAATTAAAACCATTTACCATGTGATGGAAGTGAGTTTTTTAAATCCTATGTTATTGATGGAATACCCAACAAAGACTTCCATTTTTAATGGACTTTATGCTGTATGCTAGCCCAGAAGATACAAGTGGGAGGAATAATAAAAAGAAAAAGCTAAAGAAGCTTCTTGGGTGAGAAGTGAAACATCTTCAAAGAAAAATAAGGAAGTCCAGTTGCCTCTTGAAAAAACATCTTTGTGATAACCAGGACCCAGATGTCTTAAGAATCTCCATAGACAAGAAAAAAAAAGTATCTTCACTCTGACAGTTCTTACTTCTACTCCAAACATTATTTAAGGGGAAAGGGTTGTTTTGGATGCCTTTCCAGAAATAATACAACTGATTTCCAAGTCAATCTAAAACACCCTACACATGCACACACACAATTAGCACATTGTGTTTCAAAAAAGCTAACAATAATAAACTAAAATTCTATTAAAATATTCTTAAAATATCATTGAACCCTCTTGGAATATAGCTTACCTCCATTGTTACCAGAGCAAACATTTGCCTGTGTAACCTAATTTCTCCTTTCTCCCTTAACTCATCTGAAATATGTTCCATGTAGCTCATATTACATAACTCCCACTTTAATTACCCAATAAGGAATTCTTGAACCATAGCTTTATGAAGATGTTTAAGAGACATGTGGATTCCAATAATAACTTAGATCAGTGATGGCGAGCCTTTTTGGCACCGAGTGCCGAAAAGGGAAGCTCATAAGGGCCACAAACCTGGAAGAGGAGCTGGCTAGGTGGCATGCTGGTGCCAGAAAATGAACTTTTGGTTTCCGGCATGCGCATGTTTGCCAGCCAGCTAGTCTTCTGGTTACTGGCATGCATGCGCACACGACGATCAGCTGGCCAGCGTACATGCCCATGCCAGAAAACAGAAGACCAGCTCTTTCAGTTTCCAGTGCTACCACGCACACGAAGCTGATCGTGGCACATGCATGTGCGCCAGAAACCTGGAAGAGGATGCCACAGGTTTGCCATCACGGACTTAGATAGTTACCAATTGTATACTTTAAATCCTAGAGATATACAGTATGTATGCATGCATGCATGCATGTATGTATGTATGCATGTATTGTTCTTTAAAAAAGAAAAACTAATAGCAGATAACAAGAAGTTAGCACATCGGCTATAGAAAGTGAGGATTATAATGGTAGAAATATGCAAGAGCTGTTATGAAGGCAAAGGAGCTGAAGTCCAGAGAAATTAGATAATATTCATATATGACACAGGCAGACTTTCCCCTGATTCATTGGCATATAAAAGGGGGAGGAGATATCCCATAATCAGATTTTCAAGATTCTGTTGTTAAAATCAATCTCAATAAAGTAGTTTTAGCTTTCCTATGGAGTTCATTTCCTGGACTGGTTTAACTAGTGGAACTGACAGTAGCGTTTTCCACACAAAGCTCTATAAAATTATATTTCAGATATTGTAATTGCTTTGGATCAGTTCAATGTAGATGCCAGTTATTAGATTTCAATATTGGTGTTAAAAATAGTTAAATATTTATACCTGCTCTTTTTGCATTTTCTCAACCAAGTCACAGCACATAAATATACCTTAAATCTAATGCACTTAGCACATTTTTTTCTCCAATCAATGTCATGGTCCTTCTTTCATATTTCTTCTTATAGTAGATCCTGGCTAGGAATACAAAGAGCAAGGGAAAATGGAAGTTTGAGGATCTTAATTTTTAGGATACAACTAATTTATTGCTTCTTCTAATGCTGTAAGATGCCCTAGAAAAGGTAACATCTCCAAACATGTCAGATGAGCTCTTCTCCATGTGCCTTCAATCAAAAGACAAGATAACCCAGGTGTCATGAAATGGTGTAAAGATTTCCTGGTTAAGCTAGGTAGCATTCCTCCTTCTGTGTCTTGTGTAAGGAAAATCTACTTCTGATGGTAATTAGCTGTACATTTCAAGCATTTCAGTGCTTTTGGAATAGATGCTTTGAAGTCACTTTGAGCTTGGAAAAATGGCATATAAATTACTTGAACAAGGAATGTAAATTACTCTATTTCAGCCATGCCTTTCTCCAAGCAGGAAATGTCAAATGAACACTACAAGGAATAGGTCTCATATTTGGCTTACATTCAAGGAAAAAATATCTGTTGCTTTTCTATTATGTATACAGTAGCACATATTTTCCATCTCATCCAGCATTGCTTGTTATTAAGGATGCCCCAGCTTGTTTTCCTTTCTTTGAAGACCAGGCAATGCATGTTGCCTTCTTTTCTCTCAATCTATTCAGAAAGAGAAAGGCTGCAGCTTGGCACATGAAGCAGATCAACTCTGTCATCAGACCAGCAAGTGAAAAAAAAAAACCTGGAAGACATTCTTACCTTTAGATTTAATAGTTCTTGAAGCAGACAGAATTGCACTAGGGAATTTCTACACCCTTCTGTCCTGTCAGTTCAACAAGCAGGAGCTT